TTTTAAAAAAAAGGACTCTCGTCTCTCACCGTCTCAGACAGTAACAAGTTCGCAACACTGTGTCTCACTCCGAGACTGAGTCTCCGATAGTTTGGCAACTTGGATTCTTTTGCCTTTTTCTAAAAACAAACAAGACAAAAACAAAAACAAAAACAAAAAGAGGAGTGCGTGATCCAGGATCCTCGGGGCTGACGGGGCTCCAGGGCGACAGTCGACAGGGCCTCAGGACTCAGGGCTTAGGCTCAGCTCCCACTCCCAACTCCCAAGTCCCAGTCACACTCTCGCCATAGAGTAGAGTCTCTACACACGAGTCACGGCCACTCAACTTGACTCAAGTCACCAGGCACCACAGTGACCACAGCCCACAGCCCACAGGCCCACTGCCTACAGGGCACAGGCCAACACTCCACGGTCTGACTGTCAGGTTCAGCCAGGCCCAGGGCCCCAGGCCCAGAGCCTACTACTACTCTCTAGCTAGATTGAGTGTACGAAGTGGTACATTTCAGATATTTTGAGCTGGTATCAGAATGTACAAAAATATCTTGTGCAGCATTATTTACATACATAATTATGCGTTTTGTTTTTTAAATGGACAATGCATTTCTTTTTTCCCAATTCCCAGTTCAAACACTTCACAGTTTGTCCCACACAAGACTTTTTTTCTTTTCTTTAAAGAATCCAAAAAAAAAAAGTTGCCGCACAATCACTGTGTCACACACTGCCACCGTCGGACGTCGGTCCGTCGTCAGCAATTTATATATTTTTTAAATCAGTGATACATAGTGTCAAATTTGGGAAATATAGACAATTTAAAATTAGTGATTGTGTCAAATTTGGAAAATATGGACGTCTAATAGGCCAATACATCGATACAATCAGTAGCATTCACCAATGGAGTTATGCATTCTGTTATATAAGGCAATCCATTTTTTTTATTGGCTGTGTCCGAGGACACATGGAATACTGATAACTAACTATAGATGACAATCCATTTTTACCAATGGAAATTGTTCTAAAATTTGGAGTTGATTGGACTGTTGAAACGTTGTTGGAACAAACGCGAGTCATCACTTTCAATATCAGTCAACTCACAACAAGAGTCACAAACCCACAAAGCACAACTCACAACTCACAACTCACAGCTCAGTCAGACTTTACAGTTTACACTCACGTACAGAAGGCACAAGGTACAACTCTGAACTTCTGAAGTCTGAAATCTGAACTCAATTTCACACACACATTCACACACTACAAATACAAGAGAGAAGGAAGAGTGTGTGCACACTGCACACAACGAGAGAAAGAGAGAGAGAAAGAGAAAACCACAAAAGGCAAGAATATGTATTTAGGCCTGTTGGGTCGATATAGTAATATTATTCATAGTAAACGAATAATTATAAATTCCTCTAGTAGTAGGGCAGTAACATAAATTATAGTTTCTTTTTTTTCCTTAAAAATGACAATAGGACGGTAGTGTGTGTGTTGGATAACAATATCTCCACACCAAATGAGGTTGGATAGGGGACAGTCAAAACTCAAACCTGACCATACTACATACCGAGTACCGACTGGGTAGTAAATTCAGAGAGATAAGGGGTCCCAGTATCTACTCTTTTGTTGTACATAAATGTCAGTATTGTTTCGTGACCCTCCATGTACATACTCTCTACTAGAGTCGTAGTAGTATTTAGACTCTCTCTCTCGCTACTACTACTCTAATAGTAGTAGTAGAGAGTGGGGGACTGGGGGTCAAGTCTATTTGACAGACTGACAGTGACTCTGTCGTTCAAGACTCAAAAGTTCTGAATTCTATAAATAGCATTCTGTCTAAAATTAAAAATCCACGGCCTCTGGATGTCTGGTCGAACAGCAATTTTCGCAAACAGCAAGTTCTCCCCTTTGTCCGAATTGCCTTCATCTTCATCCCAGTCCCCTGAGGGCCATGTACAATTTTAGAGGGCTATGTACAATCGCTACATATGTAAATAAGCTTTTTTATTTCACTTTGTTCTCCCTGTACAGATAGCGGTTTTTCTAGAAAATTAATATCACAGCCATACGGTACATATTTTTAAATTGGTAACATGGGGAAGGGAAATGTAGTATTGACCCTTGATTCTTGATTCGTCGTGCGAAGTGTTAATGGACTGTTACCAATTACCGAGTACCGACTAGCGTGTACCGACTACGGAAAAGTCGATACTTGCATTGTGTACCAACGGTTCATATTTACTCATACAGCAGTTTGATTGTACGTAGGTTAGTATACACTGCTATAGTCTCTAAAGTTCCCAAATATCGGCACCTGCGATTAAGCTCAGCTTCTGCTGCTGTATCGGTAAAATTATCTAGTATTTCGTACTGTTAATAATATACATAATCCTCAGCTTTTGCTGATTATCGATGAAATTGACTGGTACGTGCCCAATATCGCGACGAGTGTCATGAAGACAAATATAACCACATTCAGAATCACTTCGGCCAGCTGAGGTCGTGCTCTGCAATGAAAGACAAGAGAATAAAATGATACTATTGCTTGAAAACATGGGTGACGTCATACTAAATTTGATCTACCAGCATAGTGAACTATGGTATTAATGCATCTAAACGCGCGCCTATTGATTAGGAGAATGTAGGTGGAACATATGTGCCTTGTCTCGACTTCCTACCGTTCCCCGTCGTCGTGTTTACGTACAGGCTTTTTTTTTCGCAATGTGCACACAGTAAAGCGGATTTTTGAAGAGAGCAATCCGATAAGCTGACAATTTACCTTTATCATTGGATGCTTATTCATTAACAAATTTATAAATGCATATAGGAAAACAAATCACAATCACCATAGTTACGACATACTCCGTGTGGCGCTTGATGGAATCTGCAGACGGTCGCATGTCAGTGTCTAACAATTGTTTTGTATCATCCTGCTCCATGCTGAGGTACTTAAGGTCCACTTCGCCTTGGGCCATGGCCTCAGGCGTTGAGACCAGATCTCGCTGGTAGAATAGAACCTGCCGTATGTACAAAAGTACCAGAAATGAGAGTATTTAGTATAAATCCTGGAGGAGCTTTGATCGTTTTGAGATATAACAAGTGAAGTATCCTGCTGGATGTCTATCTAGCTTGTAATTCGTGAGACAATTTTGCTCAACATCAGCTCACGATGAAATTCAATACACTGTTGTTGAAAGAACAAATATAAGTCGGAAGCACAGACTACCATTCAAATTGCCCTTCATTCCTCCTTGTATAGTACGAGCAACGAGAAATCTGATAAAGCACGCAGTACATTGGAAATTAAAGGTGAAAACCCGCGAAAATCCCATAGGACTACGCCAACACAAAATACAAGCATATTGGCGCATAACATTATGACTCCACTAAGCACTTGCACAAATTGAACATAGGTCAAACAAAACGAGGCATATAGATCACGACGCTAATATACACCAAGTATTCGTCAGGTATGCGTTGAATACGTGCGAAGCGTGAGGAGTAGTCAATGGAAAGAATTGAATACTTTCAATATAGAAATGCGTAGTGTGTTCTCGAAATCATATTTTGATTCCATGCGTTTAGCTATAACCTACCAGGTAGAACCAGGCCGGCAAGATGCATCCAGAGAGTGAGTCCATAGATGCGCCAATAAGAGACAATACATCGCCGAAGAACTGAGTGAGAAACGAGATCAACCGATTAGCACCCCCATACCATTTGAAAATATTCCGTTCCGCACTTCGAATGCAACCTACGCAGACTATGTGCGAAGCAAGACTATACAAACACTGAGAACAAACTGGCTGCGACTTACCGGTACAGCGATAGCCACACCCACTGTGAACAACACCTGCACTGTGCGTAGACCACCTCGATACAGAATTTCCTTATCTGAACCGTCACTGTTCAGGGCTATCTCAATGCCCCGGAAGATCGGATTCATGTTCACAACAAATGCGGCGTATACGTGCGCCAGCATAGAAAGGGCCATAACCTTGGCCGTCTGGACAACAGAGAAGGCAAGTATAGGAGTTGTTTTAGAATTGCTGAAGGAACATGGTGATGGTTGAATTTTTTTTAAAGTTTTATATTCCTGCGATGAATTATTCGCCAATCAGCATTGAAATTCATAAATACGATGGATACCCAGTGCAACTTACTTAACCTGGAACATAGACAGACTGACAACAAGTCGATTCAAATACGCGCATGCTAGTATAGGAAATAGTGCAAGCTTAACCATGTGTATACTTGGATTGTGCAGACATCTGAACAAACTCAGAGTCAACTGTTTCAAATACAAGCGTATATGTTAACCTTTTAAGTGACACTCACACACCACCACAGACCGATTGTTCCATGTATTGATGCTAGAAACCAATTTGATTAACATACCCAGTTGTTGGGCAGCATTTTGATGACGTTGGCGTAGGCCGGATCGGAAAGGATGTAGTCTCCGTAGACACCATAGGTACTGCACATAAGCAGCACGTAGAAGATGAACGTACTTCCGCACGATATATATATCGCCAGGGGGAACTTGGACGGCTGTTTCATGCATCGGTTGATCTCAGGAAAGACGCACATGCCACCAAATGCGAAGATAATTTTCACAAACGCATACGACATATCTAAGGGGTTGCCGTGAAATAGTTCGGTGTGGTTGGGCACGTCCACTGTGTGACCCTCGAGCTTCTCGTCCCAAACTACGGCTACAACCTGGAATACAATTCGAATAAATGTGAGCCTGTGTGTGTATTTTTGCAAAGAGAGTATATACTAGCGTGCTCATAAACCTCTACGATTTTCATTGAAATACTTAAGCTGAAGACAGAAAACTGTGATGGTCGACAAGTTTGTATGCGAACAGTAGGGCTTGACAGCTGTGAAGCTTAAAAATTGAGTGCAGGAATGTATTCATGAGGACAAGCTAGATATATACATACAGGCACACAAACATAGGCTTATACACGCTTACCTGCATGCTTTTGTATGTAAACAAGTGTATGGGGATACATAATATCAAAAACGGCATGTTAATGTCACGCATACATGCACACTATATTCGTATACACACAAAAGTACAACTATATATACTAGACGAACCATACCAGCAACATAACAATCGCTGAGGTGGCGGCACCCAGCGCGGAGACAGCTCCCACGTGACCAAGTGTCTTATACATACACACAGGCACCGTAAACAGTCCAAAAATCAACGCCCATGTATTGTACGGCAAGGCTCTCGGAAAAAGCGTTTCAAACTACAAAAAGAATCAGTACGTGCAGGAATTAGTGCGATGAAGGTTAATATTGAACTAGAACGTGGGTTAAGATTGTTGAGATGGATGTCATACACGCAGACGATACTTGAGGCGTGGTGAAGATATAGTATCAAACGAGAAGTCATGGGTGGTGTACTTCTCAAGAGCCGTAGAGAAACATCATTTGCCTATCATGTATTTGTAAGTGTATGCGATAAACTAATAATGGTATAATTGAGAATGGACTTGACTCAATACTAAGAGTATGCGCGCACCTCTCACAAATGCCAGCCAAAAAAAACGGTAGAGGTACCTAACAAATCGACAAGGCGCACTTTCACAGTGCCCTACAGAGGCCGTGGAGTGTGGTGACCGTATACATGTTTGTACTATGGCATTTGAAAATGACGACTCGTGTGCTGTGGTAAGGTGTATCAGATCAAATTTTACTTGCGAGACAGTCGTTTTGGCACGCATGCACATGTTGCCAAACCTACTGACGACTGCCCTAGTAAGCGTACCTATACCATTAAAGTGCGCCAAGCCTTTTGATTTGTCATGTGTGTCGAACTGTTACAGTCCCTAGAGGTATAGAGCAGAAAAATACGAGAAAAAAGTTGTCCTACCATATCTTGCTGCAAAACATTCAGATGTCTACGCATATCCACACCTGAGCACGCCTTTGCATCGATATACTGACCCAACAGTTTGTCTTTTAATGAAATAGTACATATCTACGCGGTACTGATCAAACACAAGATGGGCTACTTTTGTCACTACTGAGAGCAGAATACCCGTAGCAAACGCGGAATAAACACACGTGATAAATCCATACTCTTCTTACCAGAACACTACAAGTATCAAAACAATTGTGTAGGTATCCGAAGAATCAGAGGTTTATCATGTCCATACAACTATACACACACACTTTAAATATGTATTTAAACATAGATATTTATCATATGTAAACTATCAAATATATCATTAGACCGAAAAACCAGCGCGTATGCGCGGCGTACCTGTTCCGCAGCAGAAATGACAAAGAAAATACTGCCACCAAGACAGCCGCCAAAGGATGCGTAGAACCCAAGCCACTTGCCCACAGTACCCCCACAGTACTCTCCCAGCTCCACATAAGTACCGAACTGATGTCCGGGCACACCGTCGTTCATACATAAAGACAGTCGCTTACCTGGTCAGCAAACATTTGAGAATACGCAGTTAAGATGAAAATGAGTTCATATTTGCATGCTTGCGTATGCTTGGGAGTTGACAGTAGACCACTCACGGGAGCCTGACAAAAAACATCACTCATTCAAGAAGACATCACTCGGGGTGAATTCAAAACATAAATACATACACACATACATACAAGCATACAATTAAATACATTTATATATACATTCATACATACATACAACAATGCAATACATAAAGTACATATACATACATACATACAACAATGGAATAAATACATACATACATACATATACATGTACAAACAAACATACATACAACAAACAAATTTAATACAAAATATATATGTGTGTGTGTTGTGTTATGTGTGTGTGTGTTGTGTTGTGTTGTATGTGTGTTTGTGCGTGTGATGTGTGTATTTGTGTGTGTGAGGTGTGTGTGTGAGTGTTTGTATAGATATATATATAGATATATTTCATATACATATATCATCTATATGTCATAAACATATATTATCGTACATATATATATACATGTATCTATACATATATTTATATCTATATCTATATCTATATATATATGAATATATATATACTCACATGTCTGTGAGTATATAATATATATATATATACATATATACATACATACATTTATACATACATACATACATACATATATATATATACATACATACATACATATATATATATATATATATAAATATATATGTATGTATATATGTATGTATATATATATACTTTTATGTATGAATATGAACGTATAAGTATGTTCCTGGATATATGTAGGTACAAATATGCATATTCATATGGTATGTAAAATTGATATCAATGTACATATGATTGCATTTATGTATATATGTAAGAATATATAAATAAATATACACGTAAGAATATGTGTAAGTAAATGTATCAGTATATATA